TGCGCTAACGGCTGAAATATCAGTGTTTAGAATTCCTGAACAGCTTCTAGAGAAAATTGTGACAGACCAAAGTTATAAAACAACAATCTTAATATTCCAGCTGTGAAAACCTCCGATTTCTTCTATAAATATGCGTCAAACCTTTTTATATACGACGAAACCCGTGTGGAGGCGGGGTCGAATATCTCCACCGTGACCCTGCGAGTCGTAGGAGGCGACGAAAATGGAAGTCTCAAATGTGAGACATTAAAATATGGTCGCGAGTACTAAGGAAATCGGACTCAAGAAAGACTGCACTGACAAGGACCAGCAGCATATACAAAAGACAGACCAGTCCTCTCGTCAGAGAGGGCGCCCCACAGAAACAAAATCTTTACTGTCGAACAGTAATAAATATCTCTTCATAAGCCCCACATGGGGCTCGACGCCAAGACTTACTGACTGACCGTCAGTCGCAATGTGACTTTGACTTTTATATATGCCATACATTCTTAGTGTCATAGCCTTTTAATGATAGCAGTGACTATTGTTTTCCCGTGTAAGAGGCTCCTTCTTGGGAAAGCAATAGACGCTCAGGTAGTCAGATAATCTCATTCATTTTTGGAAACCGAATGTTCGAGATCACGCTATTAGTTACTATTTTCAGCAAGACGAGAGTGGTTCACATCTTACACCAATTTGTTTAAGAACCACCTTTCTTCTATCGTAAGGCAATTCAAGTCAGTCCAAATATAAACCATCATTTGAAGACATATTTTAATATTCTACACTTGTTTGTGCTTGTGTGTTGCAAAGCATCTCTACAACTTCGGCTCTTCCGCCTTAATTTTTAGGCCTGTACCCATTTCCCACATCATTTAGCGTACTGCACGCTCCTTCGGTCTAATCAGTATTGATTTGACAATAATACTGTCACGTGTAGGGGTTTGCGTGAGATTTATAGACGGGTTTTGAATTGGATGATTGGATTTCTTGGCACCTTATACACAGTACTCTGAACTGCAGGCAATTACAGCGCTATCGCTGATATACCCACTTCGTATTTCACCATTACGAAAACACTAGGGTTCTCAGTCTTCACTAGTCGTATCCTGGTAACGGATTATTACAGTGCAGCACACATGAAGTCTGCTTTGCAGAGTCTAATCCTTTTCTTGCCATTATTCTGCAACTGCCAATTCTGAAGACTCGATTCAATTCAATTCAATTCCTTCGCTCCTAAGTTCATATCCTGACAGTCTCGCGTCTAGAAACTCGGCTCAGTTCCTCTCAATATAATTTTCTTTACAGCCTGTCATTGCTGGGAAGGTGTGTTTTTGCATAGCAATGGAAGTTACTCGGTTGCTGGTTGCATATGCCTTGCCGCGGGAATTTGTTTACTGTGTCGTTGCCTAGCAATGAATACCTATTCTGACTTCGCTATTCCGGCTTACGAACGTCATGTCATAGTATGACTGTCTAGTAAGAAGACCTAAGGGCCGCGCCATAGCACAAGCTGTTAGTCACTGGCTTCCCACGGCGGCAGCCCGGGTTCGATCCCGGGTCTGATCAAGTGGGATTTGTGGCGGACAAAATGGCGCTGGGGCAGGTTTTCTCCGAGTACTTCGGTTTCCCTTGCCAATCTTCATTCCACCAATTACTCCACAATCACCCTCACCTATCATCAGGGGCTGGTACAATAGGCCAGAAGTGGCCGCAGTACAAGGGACTTAGTCCCACCCCACTAGCAATAAAAAAGGCGAACTAAACCGGAGATACTTTTTGTTCATTTCAAAACGGTGTCACAGATTTGTAATTTTTATGGACTTGTGTGCTTCTAGAATATGGATAGAGGCCCACTTCATAGCTTCTGAGTAGCGAATATAAACCACTCTTTTCTAATCTGGAGCTGCTGCATTCAAGTTACAGAAAAGCGAAAGTAAAATCACAGAAAATCATCCCAATTTCTAATGTACGTTTATAATAATATATATTGGCAACTTTTGAAAGTGTTTTGGATATGAGATATTAATGTGAATATTATCCACAAAGAATGCTGTCTTCTGGGATTCGGCCCGGTGTACATCTTGTGTGAATTGACGTTTCAGGGGAACGCATCGCCTTCGTCTACACGGTAGAATAATCCGCGAGCGAGGAACAGGCGTGAGCATGGGCTGCAGACTGAGCCACCACTCCGCATAATCACCGAAGTGGACAACCTCAGATCTTACATATAATCCACGAACTTCAGAAGTTTTTAACTCGTTTTACTTCAGAAAGAACAAAAGCGTTCAGCTAGTTGTCTCTACCCAATCACATCTTAATTGTTATACTAGTGTAAACTACAGATAATAGTTTCTCCTGTACATAGCTTTGGGGGTGAAGCGAAATTACTCTTACTGTAATGATTACCCTGCCGATTAGGTTTGAGGCATTTATGGAAGGGTACTGAATCTGAGTAATCTAGCTGCTCTCATGTGAGTACTGTTAGTCTCAAATTTCAAGGAATTTGGGAGAAAGTTATACTATGAAATGTGCAACCGTGAGCATTTCCTTTCTGATTTCACATACTGTTTACAATAAATACTTCTTGTAAGATCCTTGTGTGTGACAGCTGTAATGACGACAGAGTGTAACTGGCACCGACAAATTGCTTCCCGTTTATCAGTAAGATAACAACGAAAGCCTCAAATCTGTCTCTGTGACATATTCAGTGCTGAAGAGACAGAAGTGAGGCTTTCGTCCCTCCCTCCCGAATGGTCGCTACAAGTCTACTTGCCGGTCACGGTAGCTGAGCGGTCTAAGGCATGTACTGTCTTCGCTTGCTTGGAAACCGGGATCGTGGGTTCTAATCCCACTCAGGGCATGGATGTTTAGTTTGTGTGTGTGCGTTTTTCTGTGTTTGTGTACAGGTAGAGGCCTTGCTAGGAGCTGATCACCCGCCCAAGGAGTCCTACCGAATGTGTAAGATCTAGAAAAACCGAAGTGAACGGAGAAGTTCATGGAGGTAAGCCTAGGCCCACTGGGGCTGTAGTGCCAAGGGAAAAAAGAATCTACTTACCTGTTCCACACTTTGGATGTGTGTCGTTGGAAACATTTACAGAAAGCTTTATAAAATTACCCTAATTCCTCTCTCGTCTAATTGGGTAGTTGGCAATAGCAATTTATTTGTTTATTATGTATTATGAATATTTGCAACGGGAAGCTGTCAAAATTGTGATGAAACTTAAGGTTCCTTAAATGGCAAGGAATTTCTTGACACTATGAGTGACTATCGGCGACCACAGTGGTCACACAGTCTAAGACAAGAACCATCTTCACCCCCTCGAACACTGGGATCGTGGGTTTGAATTCCACTCGCGGCATGAATGTCTGTGTGCGTTTATTCTGTGTTTGTGTTGTCCTGTGTTCAGGTAGCGGCCTTGCGACGGGCTGATCACTTGTTCAAGGAGTCTTATGGACTACTTGCAGATTAAGAGACTGAACAAGTGGCCAAGGTTCACGAGGGCTGTAGAGCCATAAGTAGAGAGATAGATAGGAGTGTCTGTTAGTTAGCTTCTCAAGCAGAACTGTCCCATGGCGTTAGTTAGTCTGTGTTAATTAGAGTATATGACAAGGAAATGGATTGTTGCTAATAAGGATAGAATCCAGTGGCGGGAGCCAATGAACACGCTACTGAAACTTCGTGCTCCATAATTCACAGGAACATTCTTGACTAGCTGAGATACTATTCGATTTTCAAGAAGGGAACTAGTCCGTCGAGTACAGAACTTTGTGAAGCATCTGTGAACAAGTTTCCTCCACTCATGACCTCCTTTCGTTTACGCCGTAATGAAAATAAGGCAAATGTTGATGAAAAGCATTGTTTTTCGCGTCAACAGAGAGATACGTATCGAACTGAGATCAATTCAATGCTGGTCTGTTGCCTCGATATTGAAAATAAAGGGGAAATACCATTAGGTCAATGCGCAGGAAATGAGGATTCAGTGGACTCAGTGTCTTCTGACTCGAATAATATTCTTGCCGGTCCAGGTGTTAGGTTACGTTGAGACTAGCTCCGTGTTAGACCACTCTATCATCATTCAGCCCTATACGGAGCTAATCCGACCGTAGCTTTACGTTGAACCATATCGTGGCCGACAGCACAGAAACAGGATATTGTAAAAGTAGTACTGATGCAGAGACTAAGTGGATCAAAGTTTTTCCTTAGAATCTTATTGTGGCTCAGTTGGTAACGAAATTTCTATCCTATCATGGAACCCTCAAAACTTCATTTCCGTGTTCACAAACGCAATCCGAGGCCTTGTTTAATATTTCAAAACAAATGATACTTTGGATTGGGGGTTCTTAGTCCCGACTAGCACGCGGTAACGCAGTTGTTTGAGGCACTGCGCTACAAGCCGGAAGTTAGCGGGTTCGAGTCTCGATGAGGTGGAATTCTTAATTGACCTAATCCTTCCAGTCGACTCAGCCTCTAACAGAAATGTGTACCAGGAATCTCCCTGGGTGTAAAGGGCGGCCGGCGCGTAAGACTGACAACCACACTGCCATCTGTAAGCCGATTGTCTAGGAAATGTGGGAACCTCGACTTCTCACAACCCTATGGACCTCCACGGTCTATTACACGGATATCTTTATCTGCTCCGTCCGGCGCAAAGCCTGACGGGGTCCAAGAGTTCAAAAAGAAGTTGTGGGAAGAATTTTCCATTTACTTTCCTTTGATACGATACTGACCGCATAGAAAACGACGCGTCCACTTGTTGGAGGGTGTGTTTTCTCTGCAGTCCACACCAAAGTCATATAAATAAGAAATATGGGGATTCACAGACACACAAACAGAAAGGTGATCTCATAAGCATTTTTCAAAACAAGAATGTGGACTGAATATCATAACACTGGTGAAATGTAATGTGGAAATAAATAAAAATGGTTGTCTCCGAAACATTCTATAGTCTAAGTAACAGGACATTTCGGTTTAATGGCGGTGTTCATTGCCCGACACATATTTTTCTATAACAAACCTGAGCTTCAATATCCGAGACTTCCTGCCTGTAGATGAGGATGTCATGAAGGGTGATGGCCGTCTGGACAATGAGGGCTAGTATAGGGATAAACGGAAGCACCAGCATCTGCAGCAACTGGAGCCGTCGCCCCCTCTTGTAAGCTGGGTTGGCTGCCTTCACACAGCACTGACCGCGCGCGCCTACGTAACTAACATCCTCGGAGCTCACACTTCGCACTGAGGTGTTGTCTCCCGTGGTGGACGCTGCTCCGTGTCTTTCGCGATGTGCCATCTGGAATACTGCAACAAATAAAAGGTAAGGTAAAATTGTCATGTGTTTAACTAATTAAACACTACCCCATGAAGGCGTATGGGGAAGTGGATAAATTTATCCACATTTTCTTGACCTCGGCACTAGCTGGAGGTAAGTAGTCAGCTTCACGCCTCTGCCTCTTTACCCTCGAGGAAAGAACCCCCGTTACCCATTGGATATGAGGCTGGGTGGGCCCCAGACCCGGTCTGGACCATATGGAGAAATTGAGTATTGAAAACTGTAGAGGTTAGACGAAACAAATGGGTGTTTTCCGTGGGGTCCGTGCCGAAAAATTATAAGAGGTCATAGTCATGTGAATTAAAGAAGTACTACAAAGGAGTAAGAAGGATTAAGAGGGGAACGATGGAGTAAAACGGAGTAGCAGAGTTCAATTCAGTTGGAAGCCAGAACAGTTCCAATGGAGTGTCCAGTCGGAGGAAGATGAGATGTGTCAGATAGTGATCTGTGAATTGTTGTACCCAGTTATATAAATGTTAAATAAATTCATCCATTAAATCTAAAACCCATCTCATTAATCACGCAAACCGTGGGTACGTGAAAATATGAAAATATTCCTATATGCATAAGGAGACCTCATGAAAATGGTGCGGTACTCCATGAAACTGAGTAGTCAGCTTCACACTCCGGCTACTCTTTGCCAGGAGAGAGATCCTCAATACCCATTGAATGTGACACTTGGCAAATCAGAGAGATTTCCTCGAGGTGGAAATGAAGTGCAGAGTTTGGGTTCCTATTTGAAATTGATGCCATGTTGCCTAGCCCAAAAGGAGAAAGAAAACCTTTTTTATCTTAATAGAGATTCAGAAGCAAGTGGAATAATTCTTGCTAGCAGGATCTCAACTGGGGTCAGTTTTCTGCGAACTGCATCAGCTTCTGTGGCGTCTGCGAATTGTACGTAGGAGTGCGGTGTGATTACATAGAACTGGCCAGCAGGAGACTTTCGACATAAAGCGATCGGGTCAGAAAGAAAACGGAAGGAAAGGAAAGTACAGAGAGAAGGCTGTGGTTTGTAACATGGCGACGCCTTTGCTCTCGTTCCGAGGAATTGACAGATATCATAAAAATGTTAATACCCCATCCACTAAGTAGATCAAACCCTTGGTTCCCCAAAGGTATACCGGCTAGGCCATATCACACTGTTTCTTATATATCTGAAAATTACGTTCAGCACTTCTGTAGGTCTGCGTTATCAGGCATTTTGTTCTTTCAGCTGGAATACAAAATGGTGGCGGGGTGTAATGATGCCAAATACTGCACCATGGGCACCCTTATTCCTCTGACTGTTGGTTATTAGGCTCGTAGGAAAAGCATAGTAATTCATTAATACTATGAATCCAAACTCAAAGTAATTATTACAGTTTATGCGCTCTAAATAAGTGAAATTTGGTGCGTATGTTCATTCATATTAATTTATTTCTAATAAAACAGAAAAAGGTAAAGTTGTCCCTGTGTTTAACTAAGGACTACTCCACGAAGGAGTATGGGGGACTGGATGTATATATCAACATTTCCTTAACCTCGGCACTAGTTGGAGATGAGTGTCAGCTTCACACACCGGACGCTTTACCACCGCGAAAGAGCCCCCTGTACCCATCGTATAGGAGGTTGGGTGGATCCTATAGACGATCTGGACGATATGGAGAAGTGAAAATTCTTGGCCCTACTAAAAAAAACAGATTTCTATGTAAATAAAATTTATCCATATCGAATTTCTTTGTAACAAGTATACAGAAAACTTTAATGCAATATGTGCAGGTGGATGAAAATTTTGAAAATATTAAGTGGTATGCATATATAGACGAAGAAAAATTATTTAATCAGAAGAGAACTACAAATATGTTTCTATTTAAAAAAACGTGCCTACTGAAAACGACGGATCATCTCCTGGGCAGACAAAATCCAAAAGAATTTCGTCAGTACAAGCCAGAAGAAGAAAGTCTTAGATAATCAAGAAAACGTTGAACATTATGAATATGAAATGTAAGACCGGTGCAACCAGCGAAGTAAAGAAGGAGAGAACGTTATGTTGGCACATTGTGATTCATAGTTCTTTAGATTTTTAAAAATAATTACAAAAATTACCTCTACTTGCTACCTGTTTCATGCTGGTTTCTCGATAGTTTATCATTCTATCCTGAAGATGAAGGCGACATATTCTTCCGAAACGCCTACTGACCTTCAACGGACTGCACGCCATTTTGCCCCCAAAGTTAAAATCTTCAATTTTTACAATGATGTAAAGCGCGCCTAATATAGGCCGAAGATGAGTTTCTTCTAGCCTTGGGAAGAGTGGTCCCATTCGGTTTTACTCACAGCAGACATTCGTAATCCAAGGGCCCTATAAACAACTTTTGAACAAGTCTGATTCTGCCGAACACTTGAAAGTCCCACCGGGCTTCGTTGTAAATTTGGTAAAAAGGTAAACTATCTCTTTAACAAGCCGTGAAGGCCCATAGGTTTGTGAGACGTCGAGGCTGCCTCATTTAATTTAGACAACCGGCTCACAGATGGCGGTGAGATTGTCAGCCTAAAGCGCCGGCTGTCCTTTACCTCCCAGGAAGATTCCTGATGCTCATTTCTGTTAGAGGCTGAGTCGACCCCAGGGCCATAATGCGGCTCGAAGGATTAGGTCAATTGAAAAACGAATTGCGTACAGATTCGAAAAATCGACAGTGTTCCTAGTAAACGAGATGGGTGGTCTGGGAGGTCATACCCCCCAGAGTGGCGGTTAGTGATGGAAGAGTCAGGTTCGATTCGCGCGACTACTGTTTCCGCCTCAGGGGAGCCATCAATAACAAGCCAAGTGACCTTTGCGTAGTTCTCAATCCTTCCTAATCCTAGCATTATTACATGGATCTTGATTACGAGAAGATTTCCATAAGAAGTGATACCCTTTACGCCAAATTAAATTTCACTTTTTGTTTAAGTCAGTTTGGCTCTTTGAAACAAAATAAGTAATACTGCATTAATTGAAGCATTACGATTACAAGAGAGAAGCGGTTACATTTCTGTCCATGACAAAAAGTAAGAAAGCTTTGACTCACCTCACGCTGGGGACACGCGGTAGAGTAGTTGGTTGAGGCACTATAGTACAAGCCGGAAAGTCGCGGGTTCGAATCCCGATGAGGTGGATTTTCTTTTTCGATTGACCTAATACTTCCAGTCGCAATATGGCTCTGGGGTTGACTCAGCCTCTAAGAGAAATGATTACGAGGAATCCTCCTGGGGTGTAAAGGGCGGTCGGAGCGTAAGGCTGACAACCTTACTGCAATCTGCGAACCGATTGTCTAGAAAATTTGGGACTCTCAACGTCTCACCAGTATATGTGTATGGGCCTCCATGGTCTGTTACAGGGATAGTTACAAGAATATATGTCCCTCTCGGCAACTGTAGGAACATCTCACTGCCAACCGTTCCGTAACTTTTTTAAATCCAAGTGCAAGGGCTCAAACCAAAACCCTTAGGTCACTTACAGGGGAAACAAGAGTCTATGGGAAACCTGCCACATGTGTTTGTGTACATGGTGACACAGATTTCGAAAGAGGGTCCGTTTGGAACGAGAACTTAGTGAAATTTTGGAATTTCGGTCTCCGGACCAGAAAGGAGCAGTCACATTAAATTTCAATGCGTTAGATTACATAGATGCAGTCCTACTGTACAAATTTTGAAAACCACGAATTCATCATTTCCAGTGACGAAATCCTTGAGACTGGAAAGCAGACAGAAGGAATTGTCTAGATTCAGTTTCTATTTGGGATCTGTCAACTTCACCAAATTTCTCAATAGCCGCTTGCCATATACTCGTAGATAAGTGTAAAAAGTTAAAGTTCTTCCTGTCCTTAACTAATTAAGCACTGCTCCATGAAGACTATGGGGGAGTGGATGTATAGATCCACATTTCCTTGGCCTCGGCACCAGCTGGAGGTCAGTGGTCAGATTCACGCCCCGGCCGCTTTATCCTTGGGGAAAGAGCCCCCGTTACCCTTTAGATGGGAAATTGGGTGGACCCCAGAAACAATCTGGATGAAGTGGAGAAGAGAAAGTTCTTGATCCAACCAGGACTCGAACTCCGAACCGTCGGTCGTTCATTCCGTAGCTGAAACGCATCAGATTAATTGGATCGGAAATTGCTCTGTCGTCTACCATCAAGGGAGACACTTAGCTGAACCGATCGGGTTCCATCCTGGGACACAAGCAGCCTAACATTTTGGGCTCTTGGAATCAACGAACATGGAGTTTTTGAACAGAAAATGAAGTAATATCGTAATGATAATCTTCAAACATGAAGATATTTGTAGTCTGGGATATAAAGCCATGCAGGCCGGTGAAATTTAACTTTCACCTAAAACAATGCTTTACATCACACCTTTCCGGTCCAGATATCTGTGCTATAATTTTTTGAAGTTAAAAATGTTATAATTCTTAGCAAAGTACCAATAGATCTACAAATAACAGAGTCGAATTTCAAATGCATATATAGTATTAAGTACTTTTCTAAAGAGAATTAACTAAAGTCCTTGGTATTTTTTATAATGTCCTTCCTTCTCTCTGTTCGTGAAAAAGCCCAAGTACTGAACCGATGTGGGTGAAACACCCGATAGCGGAGGACACCTTGCTTTCTCGAGCAATTTTGATGTTGATAGTTAATTTCATCTTAAGAAATACTCCACCAAAAGGCTTATTGTTAGCCTCTGAATAGCTCTTTGATAGGTTTTCGTAAAATCTGGTTAACAGTCTTATTATTACATGATCATTAATGTATATAAATTTAATTAAATTTAGCATTCTTTAAGAGTTATGGACAAACATGCAGCTTACTTTTGACATATGTTATCTCCATAATAATTCATCACAGGAGAAAGCGTTTGAATTAAAGTTATAAGCATCCATAAAGTAAGCCACTTCTGTTAAGCTATTTACGTAAAGAAATTCCGTAGAATTTACTATTACAGGAAAAGTACCTATT